TGTTAGTGTCCTTTTTAAGATTATAAATGGATTTGATCTTGTTACTTGTGACGTTAAGCATGATGTTTACTTAAGCTATATAAATAATGTATGTATAACGACTACATGGACCCCCCACTGTTTAATACTATGTTACGATGTTTGGAAGTAGTATATATATATGTGTTTTCTTTCATAGAAATGCTATCTGAATATTTGATTCATCGTAAAATTAATATCAGATTGGATCAAATATTTATCCAATCCCTAGGTGAAAAAGTATTTCTGATATCTGAATCCTGCACTGAGAAGTACGGCCTGCTTAAATCATTTATGTCACAAAAATCGCCTTTTATTTTATGTCTAAAGAGAGATAACACTGCACAGAATTCGAGCCAAGCGCCATTGATGCGTGTTTATGTAGAGGAATTCCAGTAGGCGATCCTCCAAGTTCGTGCCATTGGCTGTGATTTCGTTAGACATTAGAATAATGACAAAAACTGGTAAAGAAAAAATGTGCCTTGTTGGAAATGATTGAAGTAGGCAATCCTTCTGGTGCAAGATTCGAACTTCTTACGCGGATTAAAAATCATTTAGTGATAAAGTTTACATATCAAGGTAAATTGATAAACAACATTAGTTGTGCTCAATAAAAAAATGAGTTAGTTAAGTTGAAAAGCTATATCTTATAAATGTTCATATATGTATTAAATATTAGGTTTACTCCAAGAAACCTTATTGATTTTTTTTTAAAATAATAAGTTCATTTATATCTTTATTCAAAGTACCAAGAAAATCAGGATAGTTTAGTTTATTTTGTTTATACATAACACGAATATATTAAGAAATTTCGACAAAATAATCATTCCTTTACCGGTTTATTAACAATGTCATATGCGAATACCTAAAACACAGAAAAGTTTAGAGTGTTAAAATATGACTTTCCAAAACTTAAAGCTCAAGTAATGTAGTTAACGGGTTTTAAATATCTATCATATATTTAATCCTATATTCAGCTCTAACATGCAGTAGTTTCTCAGTGATTTTGTGAAAGACTGAATATCGTTACTATAACATTTGTCTTGTTTAAAAGTTTCCTTGTGCTTGCTGCCGACGAAGGTTTTGAAGTTCAGCCACTAGAGGACTTATTGTAAGTATTGGATGCACTACTAAACATAAAATATAATACATTTTCTGTGATTGAACAACAATGTTTAGTGATAGCACTTATAAATCCTCTGTACATCTCATTGTTTACCTGAATTTATGGAGACGGTAAGAATCTTAAAAAAAAAATCCAGAAAGGGATTTGAGAAACCGCGAATCGTAGCCTCCATATTTTATGTGGTTGTATTTTATGTATAAATCAATACCAATGTTATTCCGGTATTTTAAAGTTCTATTATATTTATGAAGTATTTTCATGACAAACTTAAAAATGGATTTAAAGCTGTAATCTCTTACTGGCAAAACTGACTTTCTTCTCTTTGTGTGTTTTATATATATAATATATTTACGTCATAGATCACTGCCAACTAATCATGGCGTAAGGCAAACCTCGCGGCTAAGCCTTGACATTAGGATCCGATTTTCTCGTGCTTTTCCTGTGCATGTTATAACAGCAGAAGGGTAGCGTTAAGCTAGCTTCAGGGGTTTGATCTTGAACCTTTACTTTGTGACGTTAATTGGTCTTTTTGACCTAATATTTGGTTGACGTTTGCTTAAGGTGCCAAATTCCAACAAAATGTGTGGCGTCACAAAGGTTAACTTCACTCAAGACCAATCATTCAATCTTAAAGCCATTTTACAAACGGCTTATGCCCTCTAGTGGCTCAACGGCAATTTTGTAAACTTACGATGCTAAAGACCAGGTTTCGCTACCCACGGTGGGCGCTGCACAGATAGATTATTGTTTAGCTATGTGTTGAACAAAAACCAAACAACCAACTATCGGCTAATTATTAACTGCAGAACAATAATACTTATCTTGGATCCTTGTGTGAACCAAAAACGATCCTCAATAAATAAATATCATTATGTAAAAGTAACCGGTTTTAAATAAGTTTGGTTAAATGGCGGCAATTAAATAAAACAAATCATTTGAGAAATCAGGGGTATTTAAGTTTTTAACATATTAAAATAATCATAGATTCCTCATATAAATATTTAAACACAAATATCTATTAATTAGTAAAATTCACAAACAAGGCCGGAACTAGCTATAAAAACACCAAGGTCATGTCCTGATTTTTTTAAGGGGGGAGTTTCTTTCACTCGCTCACACACACATATATGTGTGTATATAATTAGAAGTTTCAGCTTGAAACCCAACTTTGACCTCTATAGAATATTGGTTCTGGTTACGCTGAAGTTTGCAACCATGCATGTTTACATATTTGGAGTATTAATACTTTAAAAAAAGGGAAATATACATTTATTAAGAGCTAACGTCACAAAGGTTGTAATAACAGAAAAAAAAACAAAACACACACACAGTTAATTTTGGAAAATATTGTTACGAC